TCAGTTCAGGAACACAGGGCTCAGGACTGAGGCAGGATGGATGAAGTCCTCCTTGGATGCTGCCACTGCAGCAGGAGTAGCCAGCAGCCCAGCAGCAGCAGACAGAAGAGAAGAAGCATGGAAGGGGTGACAGCAGGACTTGCCCCTCCTGCTCCTTCAGCTTTACTGGATATGAAGGCTGTGGGATAGAACACCCCACTGGTGAATCCTGGGGTCACTTATCCTGCCCGCTCCTCCCCACAGTTGCAGGGTATTCTCTGCCCTCCTCCGTGTGGGATACAAGATCAGCAGTGACCTTAGTCTGCACACTGGCAGTAACTCTAAACATGGAATCTTATCACTGCTGAAAGCAGGCAGTTTGCTGAAAATATGTTGTTAGCTTCAGACAGAGCAGTTAATTAGAAGAGCTTTAGCTGACTAGTTAAAATCATTGAGCAGAACCAGCTCTGTTTTACCCCAAACCAGGACAGTGTGGAAGGAAAGAAACTAGAGGGAAAGAAGAAACATAGAAAATTTGGTAGGTAAAGGAAAGCTCAAGAATTTGCATAGTGTAGCAGCTGTCTGTTAAGGCACTACACCAGGGGCTTACTAACTGCTCTTGGGAGGTTACAGAGAAGCCTCTTCCTTTTCTGTCTGGTTAAACAGATTCTTCCCTCATAGCTTATTGTCTTAAGCTGGACAGGTTTTGAATGTGATCTTGTTAATTATTCAGAGATGCTTCTCTAGAGTGCAGTATGGAATTAAATTGACAGCCTGATGGAGGGTGTGATTTGAACGTGTACCTTTTAATGAGACAGGCCACAGGCACCACTGCCAGCTTTTGTGCCACTTCCTTTCTTCCACAGAGCCACAGTGAGAGTCTGCCTGAAAATCAGGTATTTTTTCATAATAGTAGGGTAGTAGGAACAAGACTTAAGAAAATGTCCATGTTGCAGACTGCCATTTCCAAGGGTTCCCGATTGATTTCTGCCTGACTTTGGAAAGCGGAGACTCCTCTCCGGTCACCCCAGGCGCTGTCCATCCCCTCCTCAGGCGGGGTGTGGGCGCTGCGCCCCCTTGCCCCGCGGCAGGCCTCAGCGACGCGCCTTTCTGTCCCTGCAGGCAGCAGCGGCCCGCGGAACGCCACGGCGCCGGCAGCGCCTTACGCCAGCCTTCCAGAGCCGGTGCTGTACCCCAGCCTCTCGGGAGATGTCGCCCAAGCCACGGCCAGCTCAAACGACTACCAGGGTTTGCTGCCCCTGGACGTTAACTGTACTCTCAAGCCCAACTCATTCGACATGGCAAAGATTGAGGAGCCTGCAGGTAGGAAGCAGTGGTTACTGTTTAAGTGTTTTTATTAGTTTTCTAAGCCCTTCTTTGTGACCAAGGCACTGAGGAGTTACACAGAAGAAATGACAGGGCTCTACCTCCTAATGAAGCCACTGAGCCAGCTCTAAGTAGCAGAATCATTTTGAGCAAAACACCTTTCTCTGCCACCAAACCAGGTTCCTATTGTACATGGTTCTGGGGTTATAAGGGATCAGTGGGAGAAATGTACCAGGAAACACTGAGGGATACAAAGATGAATGTATTTTATGTCTCCGTGGCATACTGTCTCTCTCCTGCTCTTAGAGGATGAATGAGCCATGCTGTACTTTGCAATTCAGTGTTCTAATAGGCCTGTGTGGACTTCCATAAACACATGCTCCTGTCTTTCACAGGAAATATCAGTGGGGATATTATTGATGAACTCATGTCTTCTGATGGTAAGTATTTAGCACCTTTACTTTTCTAATAATCACAAATTTTCGTGCGTGAACAGCACTCTCGGTAGTTGTCTGTTAAAACTGATGCCAAGAGTCAGTATGTAACTCTTTCCCCTGTACTGCCTTCTCCATCTTTGTCATTCTTGTCTTTGCTGCCCTTTCCATCCCCTGCAAGTTTTATTTAACAATCAAAATATGAAAGCTCTAATCCAGCAAGCATTTACATGCATGAGTAACCCACCAGTCCTTAATTCAGGGAGGAAGAGTGAGCAGGCTGATGACTGGAGTGCTGACTTAAAAAAAAAAAAAAATCTCTTTGAAATGTGTTCTGCCCCAGGCTTCCTGCAGGAGCTTTGAGTAAATGTGTCAGAAGACACCTACAGGCCTGCAGGCAGACTGGTACCCGGGCAGCTCTGGTATGCTGACAGAACAAAGGGCACGCCATTTCTGCTCCTGCACCTCGGTGCCTGTACGAGTGCAGAACTAAACCACAGCTAGCAAGTTGACGTGCTCTCTGTCTCACCGAGGTGACAGCCAAAGAGGTGAACATGGCTGGCATTGTTCCTCTTGCCCTGTAAATGTGCTGCTTTGAGCAGCCTGTGCTAAGATCTGCCCTTCGAGCAGACAGCCTCGGGGCTGATCCAGAAAGAGCCATGTCATTATAGGATCTGAGAGGCAAGATGAGATTATGTGATGTGGCAATATGTGACTAAAGTGGAAATAATCTCTGCTTTTAGAGCAGGTACAGCATGTCCAGCTCATCTGCACTAGTTAGTGTTCCTGAGGTGCAGCATGAGGGAAGAGGCTTCTCTTCTTGCATTCCTTGCCCAAAGACAGCTTCAAGCCCATGTTTGAAATGCAGTGCACAGAGAAACTGCTAGCCTCCATTTTTCATCTGTAAGGATAATGGTAACTCCCTTCCTTAAAATGATAAATATTTGAAGGCTGAAACATGCAATACTGCAACAAGACAAAGAGTTTATAAATATAGATGATGGCTTTCTGATGAAAGTTTCAAAAGCCACTCAAGAGCTCCTTTGCTGCAGAATTTAAGACCATATTCCACAGCTATCACCCCTTTCCAGCAAACTCACTTAAAATAGTAAGCAAAAATGCAAAGACCTCACTTACTGCTTTGATTTGAAGGCAGGACAGGTATTCACAGTATGTATGCTAGCACGCTTGTCAGATTAGCAAGACTATTTTAATTTAGACTAACCCTGATACTGGTGACTGACAAACATACTGAATTATGAAATATGGCTGATATTCCAAAAGTGGTTTAATTCAAACTAAACTATTTCTGCTTTACAGTTTTTCCTCTTTTACGACTCTCTCCTACTCCCGGAGATGACTACAACTTTAACCTGGATGATAATGAAGGAGTCTGTGACCTCTTTGATGTGCAGATACTAAATTATTAGATATTGTGTCAACCAGACTACTTATCTACCTCTAACTATAACATCCTAGACTTCTTCATAACCTAAGTATTTGAATAACGAATTTTGTATAACTTCTTAGTTCACTGACTCTGGGAGTATATCTCCTTTTGCTTCTTTTAACTACTTCACAAAACAAATTCAACAACCAGAAAAAAAAAAAGGGCTTTTATCAAAGATTCTTGCATGTTTTTTTCACCTCTATGTAATTTTTTTCTTTTTTTTTTTTAGTTTTCTGTACTAAGAAGAGTGAAAATGCTTTATAGCCTTTTGATCATTTGAAAAAAAATGATTAGGCTTCTTGCTCACAGTTAACAGCATTTTCTTTGAAGCTTTACTGCCAAGAAGCTATTTTTTTTTTTTTTATCTTTTCAATCAGTTTTGAAGCTTTCACTGCCAAGCTGAAAAGCGCAGGATATCAACTTGAGTTATGCTAAATTGTTTCAGTGAACTAATTTTGTGAAGTGCCTTCTGTTTTAGCACTTTAAGTTTCTCACACTGACTTCTGACATTCCACTTTCCTTGCGGATAGGAAAGGTCTATTTGTAGTTTGTATTAAAGTGTGCCAATACTTGTATATTAACAAGATTTTTTTAATAAAATTGTACAAACAAAGCCATCGGTATTTGTAATCTTAATTCCTCGCCATCCCTTTATTGGCCATTATGCATTACAACTGAGATAACAGGCTTGTGGCAGCATCCACGTTTGCTGGTTCCTCTTCTGGATTTGTGGAAACCTGAAAAAAATTAAGTTTGTTTGAAGTAAAAACAATTTAGTTTTTACTCTGCTTGGAAAAACATCACTAATAAATACTCATTGTCTAGAAGAGTAGTTTGTCTTATATATATTGAATTTAGGATAATTTTGCAGTCATAATTCAATAATTTGGGGGATTACAGAATTCACCAGCATTGACAGGTAAGCAGCCAACACTATGCTGCAGGAGAAAGCATCACACCAGCAGTGTAACACACGGGGCCAGATGGGAACAGGCTCAGCCTTCAGTGCAGAAGTGCTCTGGACAACACTTCTGCAGCTGTGGAGAAAATGCCTTCACAGCCCGAGTGGTTACGTCCACCCTTCTGACACCTACAGCCCTGTGAGCACAGGAGCAGCAGCACAGGCCCCGTCCCTGGCTGTCTGCAGTAGCAAACCAGCAGGGACAGGGCGACTGGCACCAACTGCCTTGAAGCCTTCGCTCAGCCTCATCCTGCTGGCAGCACTGTCACCTACCTTTCATTTCCCCCTCAGCCTCTCCTTAAGGTATCTGACACCAGTTTTGTCACTCCCAGCTGTACAGAAACTTGACCACCCCAGGCACAGTAAGTAACACTCAACTCATGTCCACTTCTCCCAGCTCCCTCCACTTCCCCCAGCAGCCAGGATGGACTCATCTGTACCTCATCCTGGCCCACTGCTTCCTCCCTCCCGCCAAACCATGCCCAGCATATCAGAGTCACCATAAAGAGAAAGCAATTGAGTTCTGTTAATTATTTCTTGCACAAGACTGCATGCAGCCCTGTTTAGAAGACAAGGCAAAGGAAGACAAGTGAAACTGTCTTGAACCCCAACTGCTACAGCAAGAGCTCTAGTGCAGAAATCACCATTTCCTGCGCTGGTACTCTGACGAGGGAATACAACGGCTCAGGAACGGGGAACAGGAGGAAGCAGAGCTATCTGAACTATCAGGGGCTTCAGGCAGAGAACAGCAAGGTGCATGCTTACTTTCTGTATCTTCATGTTGTTGAAACAAGACTCTTACATCAATGGGCTGGATCTAGACTTAACTTTAAAAAGAAAAATCTATTAAAAACCAGCCAGAACATAACTTCTGGGAGCATGCTCTGGCTTGGCTGCCCACACTCTTTTCTCAGTAGTTACACAGCACTTGCATAGGTCAACCAGACTTCAACATTACCATGCAGCTGAAATGGGCAAAGCTGGGTTTATAGCTTTAAAGCAACTACATGGAACTGCTTGCACTCTTAGAGCCAGACTATAATGCTTTGAATGTGCACCTTCCTTTCATTTCCCTCCTCAGATTTTTACAAGCCAAAATTACCTGATGACTCTTCTGAGGTTCTGCTGCAGTGTCTTTTGATAGCTGGTGCACTTCTTTCTGAACTTCAGCGAAGGCTTTATTTATTGTGTTAACTTTCTCAGCGTTTCTGATGTTTATCTGGGAGGAAAAAAACCCACACACATTGGTATTTTTAACAGAAATTCTACTGGCATGTGGACCATTGCACCATTTTTATACAACTACTATACAGCCAGTGGTACACGCTTACCTTCCAAACCTGCCTTTTTTAGTAGGTTTATCTGATAATGATATCATCTAGGCATGTGCTACTAATGTTCTAATAAATGTAAAATTATGAAAGCATTTAAGCCTCATCTATTGTCAAGGGAGCCTGCATCAATCCAGCAAACAAAAGCCAGGCTGCAGACAGGCCCTGCTACGGGGCCCTGGGGCACTCTCGGCCAGAGCGGGCTTCCACGAAGAGCTCGTCCCTCCACCGGTGGGTTGGCCCCAACTGGGTGCCAGGTGGCCACCAAGGCTGCTCTGCCAGTCCCCTCCTCAGCTGGACAGGGAAGACAAAATACCACAAATGGCTTGCGGGTTGAGGTAAGAACAGGGAGATAGCTTACCAAGTACCAGCACAGGGAAAACAGACTCAACTTGGGGAAATTAATTTAATCTGTTGTCAATCAAATCAGAGTAGGATCAGGAGAAATAAAACCAAATCTTAAAAACACCTTCCCCCAGCCACTCCCTTCTTCCCAGATTCAACTTGACTCTTATTTTCTCCACTTCCTCCCACTGAACGGCACAGGGGGACAGGGAGTGGGGGTTACACTCAGTTCAGCACACACTGCCTCTGGAGCTCCTTCCTCCTCAGGGGAAGGACTCCTCCTCACACTCTTCCTCTGCTCCAGCATGGAGCCACTCCCATGCGAGACAGTTCTCCACAAGCTTCTCCAATACGAGTCCTTCCCACAGGGCTCCATTAAATGCTCCAGCATGGGTCCTTTCCACAGTGTGTAGTCCTTCAGGAGCAAACTGCTCCAGTATGGGTCCCCCACAGGTGGTAAATCCTGCCAGCAAACCTGCTCCAGTGTGAGAACTTCTCAATGGGTTCACAGGTCCTGCCAGAAGCCAGCTCCTGCACAGACTCTCCAAGGGGGCACAGGCTCCTTCAGGCATCCACCTGCTCCACTGGCGGATCCGCACAGGCTGCAGGTGTATCTGCTCCACTGTGGACCCTCATGGCTGCAGGGAGACAGCTTGCCTCACCATGGTCTTCACCATGGGCTGCCATGAAACCTCTGCTCCAGTGCCCAGAGCACCTTGTCCTCCTCCTTTTCACTGACCTTAGTGCCTGCACAGTTGTTTCTCTCATTCCTCTCTCCCAGCTGCTGTTGTGCAGCAGTTTTTTCCCCTTCTTAAATACGTTATCACAGAGTTGCCACTAAGGTCACTGCTATTCCAAAGGCTGCCCCTGGAATTCACCTCAGCAATGTACACAGGCAGAAGCAAGCCCTGAGTAGTTACCTATATTCATTTTGCTTTCAAAGCTTCCATAATTTTGGAGTGTGTACACATTAACTACTTACTCTGAGTGACCAAGAGAATCATCAGGAAGGAAGTAATGGCAAGAGGCTGATAAACAAACCAAATCAGATTAGCATTTTGGTTCATAATAAACTGAATGGTGACTTGAGACTGACTGACTCAGCTCCCAGGTTAAATCAGAATGGACGGCACTGTGGGCAATGCCATGCACAGAGATCTGAGGTCTCCCAGCAGGGCTCAATACCATTTCACAGCTTCACGGGGGCCCTGAAAGGATCCAGCAAGTTTTAATTCCCTATACCCCCAGCTACTCTGCCAGGACTTCTCCACAGAAACAGGCTCTATCACTAGCATGTGCATCTGTATCAGAAGTTGTCTGAACAGTTACAGTTGACTTTTATCTATTAAAGAATAAACCTATTTTAATAGTTTTTTCAGAGCATCTTCCTATACTGCTTAATGATAAGTAAATCCCCAACGGCTTAATGAATTAAAGAATGCAGCTTCAAACACACAGAATAAAATTTAACTCCTAATAAGCTACTGACTTTTCATGAATATGCTTTTAAAACCTGTTTCTCCCTTTATTATACAGAAGCCTTTAGACTTAAGCGGAGATGTGGCAACAGCAACATTAAATTGTTTATTTCCAAAGTTTGTTACATTCCCGTCTGCCTACCAGATTAACTTGTCAAGTAGCTTTAGCCTGCAGAAGAAAATTTGAAAGGTCTTTTTTTAGAGCTGCCATTTAATGCCATTCGCCCAGCACAATGCAACTAAATCTAATAGGAACAGTGAGACACTAACTTTCTGTTTTCATTGCCAGATGCCCTTCTAGAGGCACCAGCTGAACTCTCAGCAGATCACACAGCTTAGGCTGGAGGCAGGGCTTGAGAAGAAAATACAGTACAACAACTTAATGGGACCAAGAGGAAAAACCTTGCTTAGCTCACACCCCATCTCTCTTCCTCTGCACCACTGCCAGCCACACAACCCACCCACCCACTCCTTCCTCTGGGCTCCTCTGCTCTCTGGACACAAAAATGCCAGAAGATTATTTTTTGCTTGTTTCCTTTTCCATTGCTTTAGTGCTGTGAATCAGCTCACAGAAGGGTCTGCAGAGCATCAGAGCCCATCTAAGGTGCAAGAAAGGGGTAAAGAGGAAGAGTAAAATATACGGTGGTGTGTGCTCTTAGATCTGTTCACTGCATCTCACTGACATGGTTTTACTTGACAGATGAGACAAATAAACAGCTACAGAAAGGCTCCATCCTTTCTGGTTCTTTCCCCAACCCCCAAACATTTCTCTTTGAACTCATTCATAACCAAGTTTGTTTAACTCGCCAACCCAGCACATAAAAATGCAAAATGCATTTCTGATTGTTCTTGCCACTGATTCAGAAAGTTGAATCAGTTAGTATGTGCTGAGTTCCCGAGCCAGCACCAGGAAGAGCTGCAGGAACGGCCGTGGGAGCCTGGCAAAGGGAGGTGGGATGGGGAACGTGACGAGAAGAGCAGGACTTCCTCTTCCAGGACCTGAGCCTGCTGGTTTGGACCAAACCATTTTGTTAAACCACACCCCGAGCGACACGCTGAATTACAGCCCAGGTAACGCTGCAGGGGTGGTGCAGTGAACGTGAGCTCACTGAGCAGGGATGCTGCCTACAGTACTCCACTCCCCAGCACACCCCGAGACGCTGCCGGACGCTGCCCACATGACACCCTGAAAGAGAACAGCCTGACGTCTTTACGTGGCGGCCGCACGGAAAGGCCGCGGGAGGGTCGGGGTCCGGGCCCGG